ATGGTGTGGTATGACGCTTCTATACATGATGAATATATCAAACATTGTAACATATAATAAATACATATATACCGATATAAAGGTAGGACATATGAAGAATGAACCACAACTTTTTTTCATTTCTTAACTTAAAAGCTAAATGCAAAAAAATCCGAAATTACAAAGCTCGGAAAAGTTTTGGACACTCAGTAATTGAACTAGTTTGAATGCGGATGATTTTTTCCAGTAATAACATTAAATATATTTACTTCTCAATTCTTTGTATATAAGGGACAAATCAAAACAAAATGAAATTCACCTTCTATGTTGGTACGTACGGTTTTACAAAATTCACAAAATCTTTGTTCCGTTACAATATTTCTATGACGCCCAGTTTCAATTGCAAGGTTATGTGAAGACATTTTTATTCTACTTTTTTGTTTTTTATAAATAAAAGGTATTGACTTTCTTAAATAATATTGCAAGGTTAAATAATCTACAATATGCCTATAAAAACACATTTTGTTGATTAATTAATTTCAGCCATGAGTTTTTTTTTTAATGAAATTATCTGTTATTCTTTGTTTGATACTCCAGTAATTAGAAATTGTTTATTAGTCATTTGTTTGTACTGTTCAAACCAGATAAATCCAAGTCCATTTTCAAAAATTTAAAACCCAGTTGTCAGAGTGTCTGCTGGAATATACACATTTTCAGGATACAATTGTCAGTTTTTGTTTTTGATCTGTTTTTATACACCTGTTGATATACTGTTTTACCCGCCATATCTAAATAAACACTGTACAACACGAGATGTTTTATTTTGATTTCTAGAGTTCAACTAGTAAGCATGCGCATATTGAACACTAGTGTGACACGGGTTGTCTTAATCGAATACACTCATTGTGTCTAGTGTCTGCGAGCTATTGATGGTCAAATCATATTTCAAATGGGTAATTAAAATTCTGGGAGAAAACTTTATTATGATTAAGATGTGTTAATATTTTCAGTCGATTTTGTTTGATTTTTTTTGGTATATATCAATTTATATTGAAGTCCTGTAGCATATAGCTTGCACTTACTGCTTGTGTCTCTTAAATACAGAATTTTAAAATTTAAATTATTGTGGGTATATATAATTCATTTGCCCTTGTTCCTGAAAATATACATCGGTGCTCCGTTCATTGCCTTGGAAGATATGAAAGATTTTTTTCATTCAGTTAAAACTGTCATTAATTTTATAGTCCGTTATTTGAAAAAACACCAATTCATCATATCTTTAGAAAAATAAATTTTGTTAAAAGTGCACAAATGCATCCTTCCAATAGAAGAAACCTTCATGGAAAGAAATTGAAGTATGGAGCGCTAAAAAAACCTGTGTACCGGATGAAAAGTCACTTGATGAATACATTTGCACAAAAAGCACCCCTAATTTGAATAGAAGGAAGCTTCAGGTTTAATCTGAAGCAAATGATATAACTTTTTACATCGGCACAAAATTAATTTCACATTTTTTTTTTTTAAGATCATGTAAAAGAAAGTCCATGTTCGCAGGTATTTTTAAAGCATAATGTTTAAAAGCAAGAACATGCATTTGTATGACCCTTTCACATGTCCGATCTAGATATAAGTAAAAAAAAAAAATCAGTCGAATGAAAAAGGGCGTTAAAAATACCTCGGAGTGATTTATTATTTATCTTACTACAGGGAGAGAGTTTGTTAAAATCAAAAAGTACAGGAGTGGATTTCGACAATTAATGAATTCCGAAACGAGGAAGATCATATTAACTTGTCTGGCATGAATAAACAGGATTTTCTGAAGCAATGCAATTTGGACTGTACAAAGTACACTGACACGGATGTTTCTTTATCCACCAGCGATGATACTGACGTTAAACTGACGTTTAAATTTTCACTTTAACTATCTATTTTTTATACACCGAGTGTAGTTTTATATCGTAATTCAACCGCCTACGTGTATTTGTTGTAGCACTCGGATTTTGCAAAATTATATATGTATGAACAATTTCTAATTATGTACGTAATAAGCTTAAATGGATTAATTATTTCTTTTTCCAAAAAAAAGGGGTTTCTTTAAAGTGTGAAAAATAGTGTATCCTTCGTTTTACGTTCCGTTTCCAAATTCCATTGTGCATTTAATATATAAATAATTTAACGAATTTCTAGTAAATCATTTCAAATACGACTCGTAAGTTAAGCAGAAAAGAAATCAAAGTTAAGCCAGCCAAATTAAAAATGTATGCTCATATTTTGTCGGTCTCTAGCATGAAAAAGGTTTTTTAGGTGTCAGTTAATCATAAAACTTAGTACACTTCGAACACACGCTCATGTATTCATACTAATCGCACGCTTGAGAGACGCTCCGCCTTCTCATTCAAATAATACAATGACCTACCTAGCTGTAATGGCGAAACCGGAATTTTACAGTGAAGTATAAGATTTTATTTAATCGATATAATGTTTATATTGAAAGTGTCTTTCCCCAAAAAATCTTTTACGAGTATCTATACAGACTATGCTCGAAGACTTTAGCTATAATAATATAACAATGTTCTGATTTGAAAATGTAAAATTCTGCATTTAAAAAGGGGCGAGAAAGCAGTGTTATGAGGATTCATTCTTTAATATATTTGAACTCTAGCCCCATTTATTTTTACTTAGAAAATATCTTTCATTATGCTATGCTAGGAATATTAAATATAGGTCTCAATTTATATCTTTAGAACAAATTTTATACATTCACTCAACAGACTTTGCCAAGAAAGGAAGTTATATTAAAGAAGTCAAGATAAAATTTACACCTTTTTTGTCTGCATGAAAATCGCACATTTTGACCAATATCTCAAAATTTACATCACTAACTCCAACTTTTTCTTTCATTATTTTAAACAACACAATACTTCCAATCGATCAGCACTTTAGTCATAAAAAGTTTGATACAAGAAAATATTTTATTGCCTATTTAGATTTTTTATATAACCCAAATATGATACTTTTTTAGTGCAAAAAGGTCATACAATAATTTATGCATATTAATTTGCATGATTTGTTTAATGATAAATATTATTCAAGCTATTTTATGTAACATAAGATTATATTTATTGCCATAATTACATCTGATAAAATATAATAAAGATTTAAGTGATTAACCAATTAGTTACAATTTAAGTGCAAAAAGGTCAACTTAATTGTACCGTAGCTCAGAAAGATGCACACCGACTCCCCATTTTCTTTTCGATTTTGAGTCATGCTATATGAGTCTAAAATACACTTCTCAAAAAATCCTTTATATAACTAATTTCACGAGTGACGTACCTTAACTATGTTAACGTCTTGACATCTGTGTTAAGGACTTCTAGGCCGACTAATAGCTACAACATAACCACTCTTGTTCCTTTTGATAATTATCTCATCCTTTCGTGACAAGTGTTTTTCATGGAATGCAGTAGATTTCAGTTGTGATGTTTATTTATCACTGTTATCGTCATCATTCTTTTAATTTCGATGCCATTTTTCGTGTAAAACAGATTCTAATGTATAAACCTGACCCGAACCGAAATCCGGAAAAATGGAACCGAAACCGAACCGAACAGCTTGGACCGCGGTTTTTGGTTATTTCAGAGAACTGTGACAGCCCTACCTGTGTTGCATCATCCATGAAAGTTTAGATCAAATAGCCCTTATAGTTTACTTTAACCTGGTCACTCATCTTGTAAATGTCGGTCAGAAACAGCATCCAAAGCAAGCCTGGTAGTGTGCATCTTTATATTTATTATCCATGCAAGTTTGGTCAACATAGGGCTTAAAGATACTTAGGAATGAGACCTGCTCTAAAAGCTTTAACCTGGTCACTCATGCAGAAAATGTAGGTCAGATCAAGCATCCTAAGCAAGTCCAGTAGTGTGCATCCTTAGATGTATCATACAAGCAAGTTTAGTCAATACAGGGCTTTTAGTTACTTAGAAATGATACTGCTCTAAAAACTTTATCCTGCTCACTCATCCGGAAAATGTAGGTCAGATCCAGCATCCGAAGCAAGCGTGGTAGTGTGCATCCTTAGATGTATCATCCATGCAACTTTGTTCAATATAGGGCTTATAGTTACTTGGAAATGAGACCTTCTCTAAAAACTTTAACCTGATCACTCATCTGGAAAATGTAGGTCAGATCCAGCATCCAAAACAAGTCCAGTAGTGTGCATTTTTAGATGTATCATCCTTGCAAGTTTGGTCAATATAGGGCTTATATTTACTTGGAAATGAGACCTTCTCTAAAAACTTTAACCTGATCACTCATCTGGAAAATGTAGGTCAGATCCAGCATCCAAAACAAGTCCAGTAGTGTGCATTTTTAGATGTATCATCCTTGCAAGTTTGGTCAATATAGGGCTTATATTTACTTGGAAATGAGACCTGCTCCAAAAACTTTAACCTGCTCCAAGAACTTTAACCTGGCCATTCTTCAGCTTAAATTGCAGCATCTGAAACCTTGACTGGTACAATGAAACATACTAGAAACATCCTCCGTGCATCTCTGATTAATATAGGGCACAGAAGTACTTGAAAAGAAAACTACACCAACACCGATGGTATTACATAAGCTCCCCCATCTTCATTGAGGTGAGCTAAAAAACCTGCATTGTAAGAAATATAAAACCTTTTTGGGAAAATCTTTGTGCTGCTGTGATCAGTATGCTATGGTGCATGTCATGTGACTGCCTGGATCATGTTTCGTGCCTAGGCAGAACAGTGGCACATGTGCATTATAACTAAAGGGACCTACTTTAAAAATTATAAATACTGAAACCCAATTTGATTTCTTTTATGGAAGTTATTCAATTAGTTTGCAAACCATCCCTTGTATAGTTTACTATCAGAGAGAGGGAGGTCCTTGATATTTGTGAAGAATTTATATAAACCTTCTCAGTCTTCACGTTTTATAGTACAACTTGTGCCTTGGCATTGCAACTACTTAAGGGGAGTAAAAAAATGACATTCGTGTGTTTAAAACTAAATTTGTCTTTATTGAACATACAAGCTAATGAAAAATTTTATGCAAAGAAAGTAAACTTGGACAATTACCATAATCAATATTGCGCTTCACGAATTTGCCTACATGACAGATCTACATGCTTTACATATTGCATTCATAAAACCAAAAAAATTCCTTAAGTAACCATAATTTGAAGCAACAATATGTGCAGTGAATTTAGGGACAGTTTTGTCATTGATAACAATATGTACATTTTTATATTTGTACATAAATAACAATATGTACATTTTTATGTTTTCTTCAGCTGGTTACAAAATGCACAATAGATGACAGTTAATGCAGTGGGGGTAGATATATATTGTCCCCAACAATAATATGAAAACCCCTCCCACCCCCTCCAAGGCCATGATTTGAAAAATACATGGTGAATCAGATGCTTGCTTCTAGTTATGACTTCTCATGCCCTTGCTGTTCTTGTAAAAGGCATTTTTATTAAACTATGATCGCCTATTAAGGCCCCACTCTATCCCTCTATGGCATTATTTCAATAAAGTTAAATCTTCATTACCTATTGACACTTGTATAATTGTCAAATGTAGCCCCATTTTTGAGAAAGAAAAAACAAACTAAAACAAGAGGCCCAAGGGCCTTGAATCGCTCTTCCGATAAACTGTACAAACTATCACTTCTATCTGAAGCTTCCAAGTATCTTGAATATTTAGATAAAGCCTTGAAATTCCAAAGGTAGGTCATCATGACCTACATTTTAGATGAAACACTCTGGGAATCCAAGATGATTCTAAGCTAATTAGTACCTGAGAGTAGGTCATGGTGACCCACTTATCACTTGTCATTCTCTGAGGACCCAAGATGCATCAACTAAGTTTGATGATTCTAAGCCAATTAATACCTAAAATAATTTTTAAATTATAACCATAAAATTTCAAAAATAGGTCACAGTGACCTCCTTTTCAGTCGACTAACTATGCGGACCCAAGATGCATCAACTGACAAAGTTTGATGATTCTTAGCCAATTATTACCTAAAAATATTTAAATAAAGTAATAAAATTTCAAAAGTAGGTCATGGTGACCTACATTTCAGTCAACTTACTCCGTGGACCCAAGATGCATCAACTGACAAAGTTTGTTGATTCTAAGCCAATTAGTACCCGAAATATTTAATAAAAGCCATAAATTTTCAAAAGTAGGTCACAGTGACCTACTTTTCAGGTGTTGTACTCCGAGGACCCAAGATGCATCAACTGACAAAGTTTGATGATTCTAAGCCAATTAGTACCTGAAATATTTAACTAAAGTCATAAATTAGGTCAAAGTGACCTACTTTTCAGTCGACCTACTCCGAAGACCCAAGATGCATCAACTGACAAAGTTTGATGATTCTAAGCCAAACAGTACCCGAAATATTTAATTATAGTTTATAAATTGAAAAGAAGGTCAAGGTGACCTACTTTTCAGTCGACCGACTCACAGGACCCAAGATACATCAACTGACAAATTTTGATGATTCTAAGCCAAATAGTGCCAGAAAATATTAAATACAGCCATAAAATTTCAAAAGTAGGTCAAGGTGACCTACCTTTCAGTTGTCATACTCCAAGGACCCAAGATGCATCAACTGACAAAGTTTGATGATTCTAAGCCAATTAATACCTGAAAAATATTTAATTAAAGCCATAAATTTTCAAAAGTAGGTCACGGTGACCTACTTTTCAGTTGACTTACTCCGAGGACCCAAGATGCATCAACTGACAAAGTTTGATGATTCTAAGCCAATTATTACCCGAAAAAATATTTGATTATAGTCATATAAATTGAAAATTAAGTCACCATGACCTACTTTTCAGTTGATGTACTCTGTGGACCCAAGATACATCAACTGACAAATTTTGATGATTCTAAGTCAAAAAGTACCCTAAATATTTAAATATAGCCATAAATTTTCAAAAATAGGTCATGGTGACTTACTTTTCAATTGACGTTTTTCGAGGACTCAAGATGCATCAACTTAGAAAGTTTTATAATCATAGGCCTTAAAATGTCCAAATTATGCCTCTAAAATGCTATGAAATTGAAAGACTGCAAAGTTCAAAAAGAAGGTCACTTTGACCTACTTTTTAATAAATATGTTTCATGGCCCCAAGATGCATCATCTTACAAGATTTAATGATTCTAAACCTCTCAGTATTCGAATTAATGACCTTAATTGTTTTGAAAAACATTAGCCATAAAATTCAAAAAGTAGGTCAAGGTGACCTACTTTTTAGTTGACGTTCTCTGCAGACCCAAGATACATCAACTGACAAAGTTTGATCATAGGCCTTAAATTGTTCAAAATATGCCTCTAAATCATTTTGAAAAAGAATGGCCTCAAAATTTAAAATGCAGGTCACCGTGACCAGCTTTTGAGTCAACATGATACGAGGTCCTTAGATGCATCAACTGACAAGACTTGATGATCCTATTCCTTAAAGTAAGCAAAATATCATCATTTTAATAAAATGTAATTTTTGTATAACTATAAATATATGGGGATGCTTGTCAAATATAACTACAGTAATGTAATTTGTGTAACATTTCTCTGAAAAAGTAGCATGACCATTTTGAACCTCTATGACAAATTTTGGTTGAAACTACTGCAGTGGCACTGAGGAAGATGAATACATGTACATAAGAAGGTAACAGACCAGCAAACTTACACTTTGATGACAGACAAACTTCCATCAGAGAGCCCTGGAACTATGGCTCAGCTTAACTAATGAATGATGAGAAATCCCAAGAAACCATATGCAATTAAGAGTCACGATCCTGTTTGACTTTCTTCTTCACTTTTTTACTTCTTTCATATCGTATAGTTTCTCCCTCAAGTGCACTAAGTTCCATTAGTCTTTGTTGAAATGAAGCAGGAGCACCAACTACTGGATCTGCATATCTTGGATCAACTGTGCAAAAAAAAGTGTTTCATTATACAAATGTCTTGAAATAAGAATGATTTTCAAAAGTGTCATGAATTTTAAATATATGACTTACATTGCCAATCTGGGGCAGGAATTCTTAATATAGGACTATCTAAGTTCTACACTCTTGTCAGATGAGAAAGCTTTCAAAAAAAGTTTTATCTTTTCTGGCTCAGTGCTTTTTAAGAATGTAACAGGAAAGGAGAAAATGGAATGACTGAACCAGGAATTGAACACAGGACCCCAGGCACTCTAGCAAGTGAGCTATCCAAAACAGTATCCACTGCCTTAACTGTTGCATGTATTCCCCCCTCCTTAAATTTTTATTGCCCTTGAAGACATAATCCAAGTTCATATTGCTCCTGGCAGGACTTTCACCTGCGAGTCCAGGGATGGTCAGTGGCACCAAATACCGTAATGTAACAGGAAAGGAGAAAATATATGGCTGAAGCAGGAATCAAACCAAGGACCTCTGCATCACTAGTCAGGTGCTCTACCTTCTGAGCCACCCAGGCTGATATCCACATTCCAAACCATTACATGAAGATTTATGGCCCAATAAGAGAAAAGGTCATAAATGTAACAAGTTTATGAAGGCCAGAAAACTGGTGATCAAAACAACTCAATTAAGCTTAGAGCTCCAGTGACACAACTATCAAAGTATCCATCATTTCTACTTTTCAAAACAATGAGATACTATATCAAGTAAAATAAAAAAACAGAGAAGGATTTTTCCTATGTAAAATATTGCATGTGTACTTTAAAAAGCAGGCTTCATATTTTGGTGGATTTAGCACAGAAAACAAAGTGTTAATTCATGATCACTATTAATAAATATTTTTGACAATTCATACTCTTGTGTCCACTTATCCAGTCCCACATTTTAAAGACATTCAAAATCAAGCCCGTTTCTCATGTGGCTGTGCTAATTTTTGAATATGTCAATTTAAGTATACATACTGTAATAGTTATACATCCATATTAACTTAAGGAAGTCAACTAAAATCATCTCATAAAGGTTATGAATAATAAAGAGAAATTTTCTTTTAATTTTTTGAACACTTTTAGATAAAGATGTGCATAAAGAATTTATCTAGCTCATCTTTAGCATACTAGGTCATCATCTGCCAATTTTTCTAGTAAAGATGTCAGATACAACAAAGTATGTATACATATGAAGATCATTTGACATGGCATGGTATATCATTCACAGTAAAAAGTTTTCTACTAAAGTTAAAATGTTGTCCTTGTTTAGGGTATGGACACTTGTTAGGGCTCCTAATCTTAAAAATAAAAATGTACACATTGTTTATCACCTAAATGAAGTTTTGAAACAGATGAAAGTATGCCAAAAATATTATTAAAAATTCAAAATTCATAAACAGAAAGAGGCAGCCAAAAAATGGCTGACAAATTCTCACCAAGAGGGAATTTCATGTGATCAAGAGTCATAATCTGTGTTATGGTACCTGGAAGGATATTGGAATAAGACAAACATTCATCTTCATGAAAAATATGAAGTCAGAGACTTGAAAACATTATTATGCTTATGATTTACTTGGTCTCTCAAACTCCAGGGGAGCAAGAAAAAACTTCGAGATATCTGAGGACTCAAGATTGGGATTTCAAAATCACTTTGACATATCCATGGTATTTAAGATACCAAAGTTTATTTGACATTTTCACAACAAATGTATCAGAGCTGTTGTTGCAAAAACCTAAAGTCCCCCATGAGAATTTTCAAAAGTTGGCATTTATATATGTTTCTGAAGGTAGTTTCCGCACACCAAGTTTGATTGAAATTGGACTAAAACTGTAGGAAGAGTAGCATATTGAGTTGTTTACAGACAGAAGGTGAACCAAAGGTAATTAATGCTCTCTGGTCTTTGAGCAGTATAGAGCTAAAAATTTCAATAATCATCTATGAAAACCAGGAAATTATAAATAAAATGAAGATGCATATTTTAAAATTCCAGAAAACAAGATGTGTTTGTGAAACACTGATGCCCCCTTATGGCAACTTATAGCAAAGATTAAACTTTCTCAAAAGCAAATCAAATATGTTGGTACCCAAAGTAAGGTCTTGTCTTGAGGAATAAACCTGTGAAATATGAAAGCCCTAGCACCAACCGTTCAAAAGTTATGGCCAAGGTTAAAGTTTTCCAAAAGCAGGTCAAACTCCAAAGTCAAAGGGTCAAAGTTAATGGTATCCAAAGCAAGGTCTTGTCACAAGGATTACACATGTGAAATATGAAAGTCCTAGCACCAATTGTTCAAAAGTTATGGCCTAGGTTAAAGTTTTCCAAAAGTAGGTCAAACTCCAAGGTCAAAGGGTCAAAGTTGTTGGTACCCAAAGAAAGGTCTTGTCACAAGGAATACACATGTAAAATATGAAAGCCATAGCTCCAACCAATCAAAAGTTATAGGCAAGGTTAAAGTTTTTGCGGACAAACAGACGGACGGACAGGGCAAAAACTATATTCCCCCGAATCTTTGATACGGGGGCATAAAAAGACATGTTCATAAAGAAGTTGGATAAATACCATCTTTTACATTGGAGTTTCTTGATGTTTGAACCAGTATTGGTCTCATTCCTGATATGGTGTAGCGCCCTCTACAAGTCTGAGGTATTCCTGTTGAACTATTCGATCCTTGTGTTGTATACATTTGCATATTTCTGCCTGTGACATTTGTAATAGCACTGTTTGTGACAGTACTAGCACTACTTGTGCTGCTGTTTAATTGTTTTGCAGGTGTTTGAGCATTTGGACTCCATATTGTTCCCATTGCAATTAAATCCTCAGTATCTCTTCCTGTGAAAAAAAAGTTTTCTACATCAAAAGTATAATAACACATACCAATAAAGTTATAAGAAACTAGAAGTCTCTGACAAGACTGCAGCTCTACTGGTGTGTACTTAACATAAAAACATAGCATATTATACTGTACTTGTGTAAAAAAGTCTAATCAGACCAAAACCAGCTTCTATTTCACCTTACTTCATTGAATTTGAGAGATTACATACCAAACACATTGTTCTATATTCACATTAAATATTGAGTTGTTTAACACGATTAATAGATGCTTCATATACCGATCTGAATCAAAATGCTTTGACATATAAGTATGTATATCCTAAAACCTTGAAAATAAGCCGCAGCTTATTTTAAGTTTTGGTAAGAAAGTGGGGGCTTATTTTCAAATCGCGGCATATTGTCAAAACAAAAAACCTGTAAGTGACGAGAGCATAATCACGGCTTATCATCAAAACAATAAAAAATTATAATCGATCGATTGTGAACTACAACATTTGGCCAAGTATATTTACATCCACTGAATATTATTTCCTTTATTTCTTATAAAAACCACTGCCGTTAATCAGTCCATAAACAACACTAAGCAAGCCACCTGCATAGATTTCTTAAGCAATGGCTGTTTCATCAATTATGCATACAATGATATACACATCTATAATACAATATTTAACATATTTAATTTACTTTGACTGTTTTTTTTAAAGATATAAATATAAACAATAAAATGTCTTTGGTTGTTAGTGTGGGAATTAACGTCGCAGCTATCGCAGAAAAAATTCACATAACCCGCTTACGCGGGTTATGTATTTTTTCTGCAACAGCTGCGACATTAATTCCCACACTAACAACCAAAGAAAGCATTTTATTGTTTAAATAATACGCACGGCTATCATTCGGACATACTGTAGTATAACCAATTTCGTGATGTTTATAGGTATATTTAAAACCTTACTAGATTATTGTTAGAATGTAAACATGTTGAAAATGTTAGATTTATAATCTGTTGATAGTTAAATAATATTTTAAAGTGATTTAAAATTAATTTTAGCTTCATATTCAAGCCGCCATATAACGATGATATTTATAGACGTTTACACATTCCTTTGCCATGTGCTTGCGTTATCATAGTGCAAATGTATCAAATCAGTCAGACACTCTGTTTAAAAAAAGAAAAGCGATTTTATAATAAAATATAATGAAACTAAATTTATTTTGATTTTAAATAACTCAGTGAAAATTCAATTCAATTTTCAATGTAAACACCCCTGTATACGTCCCAATTAAAGCCATTGTTGTGATGATCTCAACACCCTTATCAATGGCTTTGATTATTTTTATTGATATAATTGAGGGGTCGATTTATAACCTTCGTACGTTAGAGTAATTTAAAAAAGGAAATATCAAGTCTATTAAAACTTAATTGTTAAAATAACTCGAGCTCTGTTGAAAATAAGATATACAGTAGCGCCGCGTTTATCCGGACGCCATTTATCCGGACGCTTCACCATCCGGACGATATTTTTTGGGAACCGATTTTTTCCACGTTAATTTGTCTCATTAATCCGGAAATTCGCGTTCCGTATCCGGACGGTCAATTTCTACTACAAAACATAATAGTTCATTGAAAAATGACTCGTTTATCCGGACGATAATTTTTCAAGAAACGACATTTTCACACTTATTTTGCATTCGTGTTAATTGTTGTAAAAACATTGGCCATGTAGTGCGGTTACCTGTGACCTACAAACAATAGTGTCTATAATTAGCGTGTGTTTACCCCAATTCAATCACACGTTTATCTTTATTATGAAGCTCAAAGAATTTAGTTGACACTGTGCATTAATTAAATAATAATCCGTTCAAAATCATATTGCTAACCGTATATACATCGGTAAATTCAGGAGAATTTTGGAGAGTTGTAAATAAAATGAAAAATAAATAACGAGCGATTTCGTAATGTTCTTTATCATGACGATTGCGTTGGTTTAAAACACGATGCTCCATTTAATTGAAGAAATATCTCTATTTAATGTACTACCGTTTACAAACGTCCATTATAACATATAAAACTGGCGTTACGTACAGAAGTTGATTACGTTTTTCAGGGTATTTTTTAATGATCGAAATTCAAACTTAGCGTCTGTAGAAAAAAATGATATTGATAATCATGAAGATAGCTTGTGTTTACGAATGTCTTTTTTAAATACTTTGTTTGAGTTAGTTTGCAGTGTTCAGTTAATTTTATAGTAACCCTGTGTAATGAATATACGGGAGATATACAGGGTTAGTTTATATTTGAACATTTTCAATGATGGTGCTGAACAGTTCTGTCATATCATATGAGCTTCAATAATTATAATATATGGCAAAATAAAACAACAGTAGATCAAAATTTGCTCAACCCATGAAGTCACATGCCAAAAAGAAGACGAATTAAAAAAGGAGGTTGCGGCATAAAATTGCCCATCCAATTTTTTTATTGTGTAAATTACATTTTAATATATTTTTTCATTAATCAATTACTGCTTTTAAAACAATTAACCAAAATATTATTTAAAAGTTTTTTTTCTTTGCTGTCACATTTGAAACAAGAATGTGCATATATACATGCTTAGAGAGTGCTTTTTGAGATATGATTCAATTATCCGGACGATTCATTTATCCGGACGATTTTGTTGGGGACAGAGGCGTCCGGATAAACGAGGCGCCACTGTATCTGCAAAGATTACCTCGATGTACAAAGTCATGATTACTGTTGCTAAATAAAGATTTAAGTTGATCTGTTCAAACTGAAATTCAACAGTTTCTCGTGCTTTGTTGAAATAAAATTATTTCTGTGAGGATAAAGACAACACGTAATGAATTTCAAGATTTCCATTAGCTAAAAAGAAAAAAAAAATAATGCAATAATATCTCGTGCTTTGTTGAATAAAATCATTTTTGTCATGGAATGTTTATAATAAAGTAAAATAATTAAAATAACACTCTGTTCAATATCTTGCATGTAGAAAAAAGAGAAATACTTTTTAGTTTGAATTTTTTTCCTAAATGGCATTACTTTCAAACAGGCTTATTTTCGAGTAATTTTCAATGCAAGAAATAGGTGGCTTATTTTCAAAACCGGCTTATTGAATCCAGTTTATTTTCAAGGTTTTAGGGTATTGTATATACATTCAGAAGATAAGAAGTAAAATAAACTAGAAATTCCCAAAATGGACAAAAACCCTCAGAAAAGGTACCAAGTCACTAAAAGTATTTTATGGATCCAAGAGATGTTTACAATTTATTTAAAGACTGAGAATAAAAAATCATTGCTCATATATTTTTTAACGAATGATAAACTACAGTACAGGCAACGTGGATCCCGTAGTAGACCACGTCCCTTCCGCGGTGTGTTAATCCTTTCCGCATTACACCATCGCGGGTTTTGATTGTGGTACTACCTAGCTGCGACTGTGTTCACACCGCGGCTGGGCTAGTTACTGTTTTTCTTCAGCTTTGATGTTGCTACCTGTAAAGTGTTGACGTCGATTTTTAATCGCGACGGAAAAAAAGGGGGGGGGGGGTATTTTATTAAAGATCATGGCCTACATTTATATCATGAATACCATTTAATGAATTTCAAATTTAAGTATTATCAGATTGTATAATAATTATCTATTTTCTATGTTTTTTATCAATAGTCACTCAAAATTTATTATTTCAAATTAAAAAAGAGCATATAATTGCCAGTACATCCGGTAAAATTGGATGAAATATCGTCAGCTCATATACCGTATATGTTTATTTAAAAAAACAATAATACCACCATAAATTATCTTAAAATTGCTAAATAATCCACCTTATAATAGTAGCATTAGATTTTTAAAAAATGCCAGCGTTTCTTAATGCATTAAAATGTAGTGTCCACAATTAGCCTATGCAGCAGTTGCGTTCTCAGTTACATGTAGCTAATGCGTTTATTTTTCTGCGAGATTCGATCACAGACTTTGGTTTCTTGAAAAACAATGTGTCTTTGAATATGTATCTGATATAAATATTAGAATGAAAAACAATGACAGATAGAGATTGTGACAGTATTTAACGCATGTACATTTAGGAGTATGTTGCACCATTAACTGTGGTATTATGCGCTATATATTTAAGACTATAAAAGTAATATCAACATGATATTTTTTGCTATTATTGTTGTTAATAAAATCATTACATCCTATATATTGAAGATAATTTCATAGCTAGTTTTTCCATTTTCTTTCTTTTTGAAATTAATATGATCATACTCATAAGTATTTTCATTTACATGTATCGTCAAATTGGAAAGACCCTCTTTTATCAGCTGATTTTGGGCCCTAAAATAATTTGAACATACAACACAGAGACAAAATGTGTTAGAGCAATAGGCTGCGAGTTTTCAGGTGTCTACGTAACTGGCCTATACCCTTATGAGATACCTGCAATACCTTCAGATTGCATAATCTTACATCGTGAAGCAATAGTGGCGATCTAATAAATAAATGTCTTGGAAGCAGTTAGTTTAGTAAAATAGTGTCTGTGACTGTTACTGTTTCCGTGTTTTTCAGAAACTCGATCGTAGAATTAGACAAAGTCCACAACTGGTCAATAAATTGATAAATCAGCTATAGAAATATCTGTTCACAGAAACGATTATTTTGAACTGAAAAAAATATTAATCCAGAAGCAACCCATTTCATTGAAATTTTTTCAAGAATATTTTGTTTTAATAAATGGACTCGATAAATCAATAAACTTATTGAACATGTTGAAGGAAAAACGATGCACGTACCGTAACATTCTGTACGTTTTTTTTTCTTTTCTTTTCTTAAATTCTACTTACGTAATAAACAGAGACATAAATATCAAGCTCGTGGGCATTTAAAGAAAAGAGTGATAAAACATCATTTGATTTATTTTTTTTAATTTCAGCTCTATTAAGTTGTTTTACAAGTATGATTGATCTAATTTTCCTTTTGATATTC